TGATTTGGTAAAATCAAATTGCTATTTGAATTTGGGTGTTGGAGTGAGAATGGGGGAGATGGCGAAGCACTAGCTTAGCCTGGGAGGCTTCATGGACGAAATGGCTTTTACAGCTGGGCTTTGTAAGCGGTTGCTATTTAGTGGATGGGGAGTTCTCTGAGGGCAGAGACCATGCCTTGTGTGTATTATCCTCAGAACGTGGCACAGTGCTCTGTAGAGGGCATGTGTTCAGTGAGTTTTTGTTGCTGATGACGATGACAACATGTAGTATCATGCCTGGGAATAATGAATTCAAACTGAAACATACCCAGGGAGCACTGTTCAGTATTTTGAAACTAAGCAGTGTCTCCCTCTTTTCTTTTTCTCTCTGTGAGCTTGTGTGCCCGCGCGCACACGCGCCAAATTCCGGTTTCTTCTGGATGTGTGTACGCTGGGATACTGCAGATGAGGCTGCTTTAAGAAGGCAGGTGTGAGAAATAGAGCCTTGACTTCCATTTGGTTCTGTAGAATTATTTGGATAGCCTGATTGGTGGTGTTTGCATGATTAAAAATGACCTGGTGCAGGCGCTTGACAGGAACAGGGGCCCCAGCATGCCTAACATATGCTGTTTCCCATTTCTATATGTTTCATTTATATCGTCATCCACAGCCTGCTGGGAAATAGCCAGGGAAGACAGCACTTTGGGGACCGCTGTCAGTTAGTCTCATGCTATTTTCTTAGCCTATGGTATTCACACATCCTCCACTGTGAGCCGGAATTTGGCCCTGGGCCTGTGGAACTGCCATCGGGCTGACTGCAGGGGGAAGAAAATTCAAAATGTGAAATGACTCTGTTCAAATGTGAGTCAGGGATGTGTTTATAGAAGGAGGAAATGACATTCGAAGAAATTGGTTCAGGGAGAAACATTGTCGTTAAATAAGCATTCAAAACTTAGTAACAGGCTGGCTAGGAGAGTAACAGCCCAGCTAACTCGTAAAGCCCCGAAATGTGTCCTTTCCCCACTGCTGTGTGGTGACAAAAGCATGGGCTTTGGAGCTCTGTACATCTGGGCCTGGGTCCCAGCTCTGCCACTTGAGAACTATGCAACCCGGAGTCTCAGTTTCCTCATTTGTAGAATGGGGCTAATCATTGCTTAAAACTGCTTTATTGATATTCAAATTAGTTGATATAAAGGATCAGGTACAGTAAGCCCTGTATATAGCATGGTTAATAATAATAATAAATGGTTATTAATAATAGTAGCTAATATTTTGGAGTGATTGACTGCTAAATGAAAGGTCAGCAGTTTGAAACCACCAGTGGCTCTGCAGGAGAAAGATGCGGCAGTCTGCTTCCGCAGAGATTTACAGCCTTGAAAACCTTATGGGGTCGCTATGAGTCAGAATCGACTCGATGGCAGTGGGTTTGAGCTGTTTTTTTTTTTTTTTCTTTTTTAGGTACTATGTACCAGGCACTGAGTTAGGTACTTTATTTACAAGGTCTCATTTAATCCTGATAATAATGCTATGAGGTTTATAAAGGTATTCCTTAATGCCTAATACTATTAATAATGTTAATAGCACACAGCTCAGATTGGAATAGATAATGCCAAGCTTCCTAATCCTGCACCAACTCCAAAGTTACTGGAAAGCCTTTTCTCCCTCATCCCTCCCTGACAACTTCCCCTAAATGTCTTTATATATGCACAGAGGGCTGGGATGGTTCATCTTATGATAAGAGAATAAAGACAGGAGGCAAAGAGAACAAGAGTTTTGTAACCCAAATGCTGGAAGAGGGGTCTGCAGCTGGAGACAAGAGATCAATTTTTCATGCAAAGAATTGTGTGTAACTACTAACCAAGAGGCTTGTTTGGGGCAAAATAAACACAGGAGTCATTCATATACTTGAAATCTTTTAAAACCAGAATACTGGAGCTTCACAGAACACCAGTCAGCACACTTTATGTTCTTGCCCCTGCCTACTTCCTTCTCCCACTTCCCTCAGCTGTTGGGAAGAGGAGGTCTATTTCAGAAGGGGACAGGTAGGGTCTATTACCTTGAGGTGGTGGCAAAGCACATTGTACAGTCACAGCCTGCCCTACACACACACACACACACACACACACACACACACACACACACACAGTTTCCTAGTGGGAAGCCAGAAGGCGGGAGCAAATAAAGTCTAAACAGATGGATGGCAACCACTAGGATGCTTGAACTCTTCACTCATTTGTTACAAATGGAAATGGCATTACTGGAAAATAGACCTTGCAAGAAGACAAAATCCCTCTCAAGAGTAAGGTGTGGATGACCAATGACTGCCCTGACAGGGAACACAACAGGGAGTCCCTGATGGAGCAGGAGATAAGTGGGGTGCAGAACTCAAATTCACATAAAAGACCAGACTTAAT